TTTTTTTTTGCTATAGGGAACATGCAGATGAATTTTTTAAAATGTGCATTATTAAAAATATTCTGAATAAGGCTTTCAACTTTATTAAGGAGGATTGTTCTGTGCTTGATACCTAGTATAAAATAAAATTAGGGGTCAGCAGGTGGCGTGGTGGTTAAGGGTGCTAGAATCCCACATGGCCGATCACAGTTCAAGTCCTGGACCTTGCTTTCTCATTTTCTCCCTTTCTCTCTCTCTGTCCCTTTCTAGTCAATTTAAAATAAGTAAATAAAGTTAAATAAAATAATTATTTAAAAATAATAAAATAAAGTAAAGTAATACAAAAAAATAAAGGAAGGAAGGAAATTTGAATGGGAAAAGAAGTAGTGAAATTGCCTGTTGGGTGACGACATGATCTTATATAAAGGAGGCTCCACCAAAAAACTGTTAGAACAGATAAACAAACTGAGCAAAGTTGCAAGATACAAAATTAACAACAAAAAAACAACAAATTATCTGAAAAAGAAATTAAGAAAATAATTTTATTCTAAAAAGCATCAACAGCATTAACAAATTTTAAGAATATCTATAACTAAGAGGGTGAAATTTTTTTTGAGAGGTTTTTGCTACAGGGTGCGTGCACTCGCCAGAAAGATAGAGAGAGACAAAGAGACAGAAAGTGAGAAATCACCCCCCAGGGGGTATGGCCACGCCACAATCCCTTCTCCTCCATTCTCCTCTCCGGGTCTTGGGCACACACACACATGCGCCTGGTGTGAGTTTAAACCACCAGGTCTTGGACTTGAACTGCAGTTGACTACATGGGAGTCCAGCGACATAACCATTACACTAACTGCTGGTCCCAGAGGGTGAAAGATTTTTATACTGAAAACTACAAGACATTAATAAAATAAATTGAAAAAGATATAAATAAACAGCAATATACCCCTTGCTTTTGGATCAGAATAATGAGTATTTTTAAATGTTCATACTGCTGAGATGGTTACTGAACTTGAGCTGTGAAATATTGCTTTCCGTGACTAAAAATGAAGATTTTCTGCTGAGTCTTCTCCCTCCAGATTAATTTCTAGTGGCCTCCATGCACTGAGTGTCTAGACAGGTCCAAGTGAACAGGATCCAAACATTTGAATATGATTAGGGTCAGAATATTCTTCAATTCCCACTGAATCTGATGCAGAAAGAGTGAAAATGGAACAGAAGAGAGACTGCAGATCACCTCTTACTACCCACCTCTGAACACTCAGACTAAACTTCAAGAATTACGAAGAAATGCACCATCCATCAGATGACCAGAAATCACCACAGGGTCACAAGAAATATGGGGAAGCAAGACAATACCTCTCCTCCAAGGGAAAAGAATAACTCCTCTACATCCTCAGACAGTACAATGGAACTTATGGAAATGTCAGATAAAGAATTTGGAATATTGGGACCAGCAGTTAGTGTAATGGCTATGCCGCTGGACTCCCATGTAGTTGACTGTGGTTTGCATCCTGGACCCAGTGGCTTAAAACTCACATGTACATGCATGCCCAAGATCCTGAGAGGAGAACGAAGAAGAAGGGACTGCGGCATGGCCATTCCCCCTGGGGGAGTGATTTCTCGCTTTCTGTCTCTCTGTCTCTGTCTGTCCGGCGAGCACACGTGCCCTATAGCAAAAACCTCTCTCTCTAAAAAAAAAGGAATTTGGAATATTCATCATGACAAAGCTAACAGAGATGGAAGAGAATAGAGACAATGAACTGCAGAAGAAGCCAGAGAAAGGAGTTGATGAGTTCCAGGAGGTGAGGAAATTCTTGCACTATAAAATGAATCAGATCGACCTGCTAGAGATGAGAGCTATAATACAGGAAGTCAAAACCTCCCTTGAAAATATTAAAAGTAGACTTGATCATACAGAAAATCGAATCTCAGATGTAGAAGATAGAACAGCTGGCCTAGAAAAATCCACCATAAAGACTGAGAAAATTGCCCCCAAAAATGAGAATAATATTCGAGAAATACTAGATACCATCAAATGTCCAAACATCTGGATAACTGGTATCTCAGAAAGCAAAAAGACTCATAAGAGCATTGATAATCTATTCCATAAAATCCCATAAGAAAACTTTCCAAACCTAGAGAGACATTCAAATATACAGTCCCAAGAAATACAAAAGACCCCAAATAGAATCAACCCAAAAAGATCTTCTCCAAGACATATTATAGCCAGATTGACCAAAACCACAAAGACAAGATACTCAAAATGGCAAGAGAGAAATGTCAAGTTACCTACAAAAGATATCCCATCAGGCTAACACCGGTCCTCTGATTGGAAACAATGTGAGTGAGGAAAGAATGGGAAAATATATTCAAAGTGTTAAGAGAAAAGCAATTTCAACCAAGAATACTGTACCCAGCAAGATTATCCTTCATATGGGAAGACAAGAACATTCTCAGATAAACAAAACCTGAAAGAATTTACCAACACCAGACCAGTTCTCCAAGAAGTTCTGAAGGGAGTGCTATACTATGAAAATTAAATACAGATGCATAGAAATAAGAGTTCAAAAACTAAGAAAATGGCCAAGTTAATTGTAAGTACAAGTCTGGAGTTAAATATTATACCCCAGAATTTAATTGGGAAGATTGGATGACAACAGAAGATAGAGTAAGTACATGAGACTGAACTGGTGCAATAGAATTTTATGACTTTTGACTAAACTATTGCTGATTTTCTTCTTGGCTTTATTTTCTAGTTTTAAGGATTTTTGTCCTGACTTGAGCTGCTGATAGGTTCATGTACCTACTATTTGAACAAAATCCTAACCTGTTTCCTGGTTTTAAGTTTTAAGCAAGTTCTTAGCATTTCTTTGATTTATTAAAGCTAAAATTGCTTTTCTTTCAATTAAAAAATGCATTAAAATACCTATTTAATGACTGTAATAAGCTATATTATAAACCTTCATTTCACCCTATATACAAAAATCTATTCAAAATAGGATAAAGATTTAAACAAAAGACCTGAAACTGTAAAACTACTGAAAAGAAAAATAGAGAAAAGATTCCTAACATTGGTTTGAGCAATGATTTCTTTGATATGACACCAAAAGCACATGAAACAAAAGTAAATAAGTGGAATTATATTAAACTAAAAAGCCTCTGCATAGCAAAGAAAGCAATCAACAAACTGAAAAGACAAACCCTAGAACAGGAGGAAATATTTGGAAATCATACACCTGATAAGGGTTTACTGTCCAAAATATATAAGGAACCCACACAACTCAATAGCAAGAAAACAAATAAACCAATTAAAAAATGGACAAGGGACCAGCTAATGGCATAATGGTTATGTCACTAGATTCACATGTAGTTGGCTATGGTTCAAGTCCCAGACCAAGAGGCTTAAAACACACCGAGCACATATGCCTGAGTGCCCAATATGCCAAGACAAAGAGAAGAGATTGTGGCATGGCCATCCCCCCTGAAGGGGGTGATTTCTCACTTTCTGTCTCTCTGTCTTTCTCTGTCTCTCTGGCAAGCGCACACACCTTATAGCAAAAATCTCTCTCTCAAAAAAAAAAAAAAAGGACCTGAAGACATTTCTCAAAAGAAATCATACAAATGTCCAATAAATATATTTTAAAAATGCTCAACATCACTACTCATGATGAAATGCAAATGAAAACCACGGGGAGATATCATCTTATGCCTGTCAGAATGGCTATTACCAAAAACACAAAAGATAATCGTTGCTGAGAATATACAGAAAAGGGGAAACTGTTCCCACGCTTGTGGGAATGTAAATTAGTACATCTCTTCTAGAAAGTAGTATGGTTGTTCCTCAAAAAAAAAAAAAATAGAGTTACCATACCAAGCAATCCCACTACCGGGATTATATCAAAAGAAAAAAAGAAAAGAAAAGAAAGAGAAGAGAAGAGAAGAGAGGAGAGGAGAGGAGGAGAGGAGGAGACGAGGAGACGAGGAGACGAGGAGACGAGGAGACGAGGAGACGAGGAGACGAGGAGACGAGGAGACGAGGAGACGAGGAGACGAGGAGAGGAGGAGCGAAGAGAGGAGAGGAGAGGAGGAGAGGAGGAGACGAGGAGACGAGGAGACGAGGAGAGGAGAAGAGAAGAGAGGAGAGGAGAGGAGAGGAGAGGAGAAAAGGAATCAGTACACTGAAGGGATATCTGTATTCCCACATTCATTTCAACATGATTTACAGCAGCCAAGATATGAAATCAACCTAAATGTCCATCAATGGATGAATGGATAAAGAAACATGCTATATATACACGGTGTAATACATTTGTAACAACATGGATGAACCTGAAAGCATTCTGCTAAGACATGAAAGAAGCCAGGCACAGAAAGATAAAAACAGCATGATCTCACTCATGTGTGAAATCTGAAAAAGCTGAATTCATAGAATGGCGAATGGCGAGTAGGAGGGTGGTTTGGTGGTTGACTGGGAAAGGAGAGACGTTTATCAAAAGATACAAAGTCAGACTAGAGTAAGTTTTAGTAATCTACTATACAACATGATAACTATACTTCATAATAACATATTTCAAAATTGCTAAGAGAATTGGTTTTAAATATTCTCATCACACACACACACACGTGCACAAAAGGATAAGTATGTAAAATTATAGATATTTTAATTAGCTTGGTATAACCATTCTGCAATATATTTAAACCACATCTTTCACATGGTGAGATAAAATGTTATCAATGAACTAAAGTAAGTTTTTTTCTTTTTGTATAAGATGTATAAAAGAAAAAAAGAACCTTGTAAAAATGTTTTGCTTACCCTATATTACATTTCTAGAACTCTGGTTTTCAAATAGCGTATATATAGCAAAGGCTTTTGTACTCAGAATACATGCCGTTTGGAGAAGACTACCACAGGCTACTGAAAAGTCGTGGTCTCAGGTTTAAAGATTAAATCCATCAAGTTTTTTGTGTGAGACACTTTTTGCTTTTTGGTGCAGGTCAATTTCTCTATAAATACTCACTTGGAGGAGATTCTGTAACAAAGAACAAGCATAATAGTTGTCCAATTTAATGAATCAGGCCAAGTATTTTAAGTAGTCATAATTACTTAAAGAATGAGTACAATAGAAAGTCAGTATTTCTGAAAATAGCAAGTCAGGAAACACTGTTGCCATTGTAAAGCCTAAAAGGGCACTTCTTAGGCCAACCCCATGGCCTACTGGTTAAAGGAGCCAGATCCCACATGACCAATAGCAAGGTTAAAATGCTGACCCTAAAAGCTTGAAAAAAACATTGGGCATGTGCCCCAAATCTTGACAGAATGAGGAAATGGAGGAGGAGGAATTGTAACGTGACTGAATCCCATTGGGGGAAGGGTGCCTTCTCCCCCTCCATATCTTTCTGTGTCTCCCTGTCTCTCTCTGGTAAGCACACATGGTCTCTGAAAAAAAAAATTGTTTTTGGATTTTTAAGAAGCTCTTAATCAGTGGAGTATGAGCCCGTCACTATCTCGTTCATCAGAACAAAGGAAAGGTCAACCTGTAACTGCCAGTTTTCACTCAATGAGAACAGTAAGAAGCTTGTGGAAAGGCATGCAGAGATCTCACTCACAAAGCATCACATCAAACACTGCCATTGCCGGAGGAGACAGAACATTCCTTCTTAGGCCTTGGGGTGAACATGTCTAAAAACTAAAACTAATTATTCATGAAACTGCAAAAACTACAAACTAATATACTATTTTGAATACTGAATTACAGAGAAGGTTCTAAATCATGGACCAGCACTATAACCTGGTAGCTAAGGAAGCTGGATCCCACATGGCCAGCCATGGTTCAAATCCTAGCCATAGGGGCACGAAAAACACTCCAGGTATGTTTATGTGTGCCCCCAGATCCCAACAGAAATGGAGGAGAAGGGGTTGTGACAATTATACCCCACTATAGGATGCTTTCTCCTTCTCCCTCCCCACCACAAGAACACACACCCTCTGGCAATTATTTTTTTCAAGTCCTAAATTATTCAAACAATAACAAATGTTGATAATGGAATAATTTCATGTTTGAATACTGAGTGCTTTCCAAAGCCCAGAGGGCTTTTAGGAAGGGGCCATAGAGAGGACTAGTTGCTTATGCAAAAGACAACATATCTTAGGGTTCAAATTTGCTGGGTCCAGCACACTAGATTCAATCTAATTTGGCACATTATTTGTTTGGAGTACCAGCTGGAGTAGCCACATTTTGATAAATATAGGAAACGAAGCACCTCAATGTCATGACTTTTGCTAATCATCTGGATAAAGAGGACAAAGCAAAGCACACACTGTCCTCAGTTTATCTGCCAACTTGATCTTCCTGTGGGTGTAGCATGGTGTTTGATCTCTTCCTGTGTGATGAGTCATGACATAAGAAGGAGAGCTATGGCATCAGGGGAAGAACTGCTGATGAGCCTCACCTTGAATTTTCTCAGAGTCCTCTGGGGCCTCCTGGTCTTGCAGCATCTCTGCATCCTGGGACCCTTCAGGGTCCTGGGTGGACTGAGAAGACTCAGATGCCCTGGATGACTTGGGGGTCCTCTTATCTGAATCGCCTCGTTGTAACCACTCATCCTTATAACCATTGCTGATGAGTTTGGAAAAGTTTGTTGGTGAACTGGTTTTATGACCAGGCCTTCAAAAGAGAAAAATTAATTTTAAACTTAAGTACAAAGGTTAATGGTTAACCAAGCAGCAGAATTCGCAATCACACTGATGTAAGTTAGATAAAACATAATGGAGAGGGCTCTCTCATTCTCTTCATCTCTCTCTGTCTCCCCAACTCATCTCTCTCTCCAATTTAAACATAAAGAAGCATCCCTCGTATATGGATGCAAGCATGTTTAGTCTTTCTTCATGATAGCCAATTACAAGTCAGTAATAATTTAGCTTTTTACAGGGCAGCCTTCTTCAGAAAATACCACCTACCACCTTTCCTGAGTAGTAATAGGCTGCTCAGGTGCTACAGCTTTGTTTTTTTTTTTCTTTCTTTTTTTTTTTTTTTGGAGAGGTTTTTGCTATAGGGCGTGTGCGCTTGCCAGAAAGACAGAGAAAGACAGAGAGATAGAAAGCGAGAAATCACCCCCCAGGGGGGATGGTCACGCTGCAATCCCTTCTCCTCCATTCCTCCTCTCGGGATCTTGGGCATGCACGCACATGCTCCCGGCATGAGTTTTAAGCCACCGGATCCAGGACTCGAACCGCAGTTGACTACGTGGGAGTCCAGTGACATAACCATTACACTAACTGCTGGTCCCAGATGCTACAGTTTTTTGAAACAGATGATTAACTGGTTCTTTCTTGTCTATTAAAAATGACCTGCCCTGCCACCGTGTTGCTCCGTCCATAGCTTTGTCTCCCCTCCCCAATCACTGTAAGTGTACTCTTTCATCACCTGTGACAAGTTCACAGACCTTGTCTTCTGCACTGAACTGGGACAGGGAAGCTGCTTCCCATCAGGCTGGTGACTACTGCCTATTCCCTCTGAGACTCAGACGTCTTACTCATACATTACTCTGGCAATTAAGGGTATTCCTGAAGGTTCACTTTTTCTCTCTCTCCTTCTCCCTCCCCCTCTCTTTCTCTTTCTGTCTTTCCTAGCTATCTATATCTGTATCAATATCTCTATCTATAATATACATGTATACCTGTATATGTTTCTATACCATTACCTATACCTGCACAATATCTACATGCACATCTACACTATACTACACCTGTATCTATATTATACCTACACCTGTGTCTACACCTGTACCTAATCTATACCTACACCTCCATCTGTATGGACACCCATAGCTAGACCTACATCCAAACTTGTATTTATACCTACACTTAAGTCTATTTCTAAAGCTGCATCTCTTTCTATCCCCGCACCTATTCATATATCTATAACTACCCTTATGCCTGTATGTACACCTACATGTTCACCTACATCTATACCTACACCAATCTCTACACCTATGTCTCCATCTATACCTGCAGCTATGTGTACATGTTCAACTCTATCTATAGCTATACACACACTTATCTACAGCTACACCTGTACCGGTTTCTGTACCAATGCCTGTATCTATACATAACACTGTAGCTATATCTATACCAACCCTTATATCTGCACTCACACTTATACCTATATCTAGAAAATACATATATCTAAATCTATACCTATGTCTTTATCGATATCTATACTTACAGATTCACTGATATCTATATCTGCACCTTTATCTATACCTACACCTAGGTTTATGCCTACCCCAGTACTTATAACTATCTCTATATCTTCATCTATACTACATCTATACCTACATATATAAATACCTACATCTGTATCTGTACTATTTCTATACCTACACCTATATCTATATCTATATGTGTAACTACAGCAAAACATAGGTGTGTGTATGTATATATATGTGTGTGTGTGTGTGTGTGTGTGTGTGTGTGTGTGTGTGTGTAGTCATACCCACACTTATATCTATACCTATTGCTAGGCCAGAGGCCTGGGCAGCTTGGATGTAGGGGTTGGATGCCACACCCCAGTCGACTGATGCAACCTGGATGTAATCCGTCATCAGATCTGTGCCGCATTTGGATCTAACCTGAATGTAACACATGGTGCTCTACTCTACACTGGGCACCAGACCCTATGTGGCACAGAAGTGTGCTCTCCCCCAAACCATCACCGTACATGGACTGTTTCTGCCTCTAAGACACTCCCCCTCCCCATACCCTTATAAAAATATCTAAATCCCTCCCTAGGACATAACTTCTCTGGCCCTCTCTCTCTCTTTCTGTCTGACTAGCAAACCTAACCCAGGAGCATTCCCAACAAAGGCTCTACATTTCTATTTTCTCGTGTAGTCGGCCCATTCCTTACACCTGTATGTACATAGCTATATCTGTATCAATATGTCTGTACCTGTGTATACACACACACACACACACACACACACACCTATATATATATACCTAGATCTTTATACCTGTATCTATATCTAACTACACCTATTTAATATAGCAGGACCTGTACCTAAGTTTCTATCTATACCTGTATGCATGTCTGTCTACAATGTTTGTCTCTATACTGCTACCTAAACCAATCTTTTTCCTCTATTTCTCAGTCTGACCTCAGTACTGCCAAGGTATTTTTCACATGTCCTTTAATTGAGGGCTTTCCCCACTTGTTTAGGAGATGTTTGACGTATTTGTCAGGAAATTAATGATGTTTGTTCTGTCACTAAACTAGCTTTCAGGAAATAAGGGAGCATAGAGGGCCTTAGGGATATCCCTCTGAGGTTAACAAAGATAACGTGCCTCATATCCCCTCAGCTGAATACGGAGCTGGAGGTGTGGACACCTGGGCTCAGGTCTTGGTGGTACAGGGAATGTGAGAACTTGAGCAGCACAGTGCTGCAAGGACTGTGTCCCCATGTGAGCTGTGGTGGGGGTGACCTGGTGGAGGTGGATTTCAGACAGGACACAGCCTAATGCAGTGGTAAACATCTGTACCTATACCTACACCTACATGTACACCGACTACAAACCCATGCAAAGATGAAAGCTCAACAGCATCAAAAAGGACATTGGGAAGGGAGTGGCAAGGCCAGGTGGGGTTCTGTGGGTGGCCAGGAGACCTATGATGCTGTCTGTCATTGTCATAGTCTGTTCAAGTACTTACATTGGTGGGAAGGAGAGCCTACTTCCTGCAGGGTCTTTAGAGCCAAGTGGGGTCCCCACTTTGCTTGGGTTCTTCAAGTTAATGGCTGGTAGCTTCACCTGTGCAAAGAAACACACCACACGGAGTTAGTGGGATGCACTCACGAGCTCAGATGCTGGAGGACAAGAAGACCCGCCAACCCCTGCAAAGATACAAAACTAGCAAGACTAGATCCTCAGTGTGGTCATTATTTTACCAGCAAATTGCCACCACAAAAGAAAATTGAACAATAATCCTGTTCAGTAAAGTGGTGATGTTCAGAAGACCCTCAGTTATTTAAAAGTAGTTCTGTGTTCAAGTATGATACCATCTACTCAGGAGGAAAACAGTGAACTAACACCGGAAAACAGGGCTGACCTGTAGCTTAGCAGTTGAGGGAACCAGATCCCAGAGGACCAACTACAATTTTAATCCCAGTGGCTTTAGAAACATGCTGGGCATGTGTGTATGAGTGCCCCAAATCCCAAGAGGATGAAGAAATGGAGAAGGAATTATGGCATGACCACATCCCATTGGGGTACTTTCTTCCTCTCTCTCTGGCAAGTGCATGTGCCTCTGGCAATTAAAAAAAAAAGTTTTTTTAAACATTGTAAAATATTGAAGGGACCTTGGTTCAGAAGGGACTTCCAGGGAGGGGTCATCAAGCCTCGCCTCCATGAGATGAAAATGCAGCTTAACCAGAAACCCGTATGCCAGATTTACAACGGCTTTGATACAATCACCAGGCACTGGAAACAGCCCAGATGTCTGTCCACACACAAACACATAAATGAACTGTGCCAGGTCACACAATGACACATTATACAGTGACATAAAGGAGCCACCTGCTGACACAACACAGAAGGGCAGAATCCCAAATGTATCATGTCCGGGGAGAAGCCAGGCATAGGACTGCAAAGAACAGGACTCCAGTGATGTGACATTTTAAACAAGAAAAAAACCATAAAGACTGAAAACAACCTGGTGCAGGCCAGGACCAGAATTAGGGAGGGAATGACTCAAAGGGGCTTGGAATTTCAGTGGGTGGGGCTACTTCAAACTTACACAACTCATATGAGAGTGCTCTGTGAAAGGAGAACTTTACTCCATGTAAATTGTGTCTTACTAGAAAATAAATAAATGTGAGACTTCACCTTCCCAATCCCAAGATCTAGGTAGGACAGGCCAATCACAAGCCATCTACGTTTGAGCTCTGAGTGGCACCTTTGAGGGACTAGGACAACTGAAGATCTTCTGCTCAGACTTCACACTCCCAACCCCCAAATCTAGCCATTCAGAGCATCCTCTGTATTAGCTCAGTCTCTCTCTATCTTTTTAAAATTTTAAGAATTATTTTGTTTAACTTTATCTGTCTGTCTATCTATCTATCTATCTATCTATTTATTTTTAATTTGACCAGAGAGGGACAAAGTGAGAGAAAGGGAGAGAGAGGGAGCAAGAGAGGGAAAGTGAGAAAGCAAGCTGCCAGGTCCAGGACTCGAACTACAGTCAACCATGTGGGAGTCCAGTGTCCTTAACCACCATGCCACTTGCTGGCCCCTATTTTTTTTAAATTGTTAATGTAAAGAATTCCTTAGCTCTCTGACTCTCCTCTATCTTGCTAATTCTCACCTTTCTCCCCTCCCCATTAGGACAGGCCAATCACAAGTTATCTATACTTGAGCTTTGAGTAGCCCTTTCTCTGGGTGAGCAAACATGTCATGCAGTTTTCAGGTTTTTTTATTTTAATATTTTTTTCTTTTTAAAATTGTTTTTTTCCTTGTTTTCTCTTTTTCTTTTTATTTTACCTTTCTCACTTTTCTGCTCAGCCTCCACACACTGAGTTTCTAGATAGGTCCAGGTGCACAGTAACCAAATATCTGAATAAGTTTAGGGTCAAAGTAATCCTCAATTCCCACTGAATCTGAAGAAAAATGGAACTGCAAAGAGATTGCAGATCGCCTCCTCCTTCATGCCTCTAAACACTCATATTCAAATCCAAAAATTAGGAAAAATGTATAATCCATCAGATGACCAGAAACCATAGCAGAGGCATAAGAAATATGAGGAACCAAGAAAATATCTTTCCCCAAAGGAAAAGAAAAACTCCTCATCACCCACAGATAGTATAATGGAACTCATGGAAATGTCAGATAAAGAATTTAGAATATTTGTAGTGACAAAGCTAACAGAGATTCAAGAGAAGAGACATAATGAACTTCATAAGATGTAGGAAAAGAGACAATGAGTTCCAGGACGTGAGGAAGCTCTTGCATGATCTGAAAAAGGGAATACACACCATAAAAAGAATCAAATGAATTGTTAGAGATGAAGGCTGTAATACAGGAAATCAAAACTTCCCTTGGAAGTATTCAAAGTAGATTAGATCATGCAGAAGATCAAATCTCAGATGTAGAAGACAGAACCTCTGACCTTGAAGATTTCACCAAAAAGACTGAGAAAATAACCCTCCAAAATGAGAATATACAAGTAATACTAGATACCATTAAATGTTCAAACATCCAGATAATCAGTATCCCAGATGGTGAAGAAACTAATAAGGGCATTGATAATCTATTCCAGGAAATACTGGAAGGAAACTTTCCAAACCTAGAGAGGTACTCAAATATCCAGACCCAAGAAATACGAAGGACCCCACATAGAATCAATCCAAGATCTTCTCCAAGGTACATCATAGCTAAATTGACCAAAACCGTAGAGATAAGATAGGCAAGAGAGAAATGTCAAGTCACTTTCAAAGGATATCTCATCAGGTTAACATCAGACCCTTCAGTGGAAATAATACAAGCAAGGAAAGAATGGTAAAATATACTCAAAGTGTTAAGTGGAAAATAATTTCAACCAAGAATACTATACCTGGCAAGATTATCCTTCACATGGGAAGGTAAGGTAAAAAACATTCCCAGATGAACAAAACCTGAAAGAATTTAACCACCAGACCAGCTCTCCAAGAAGTTCTGAAGGGAGTACTACACCAGGAAAACTAAAGTCAGACACACAGAAATAAAAGTACAAAAAACAACCAAGAGAATGGCCAACTTAATGGTAGGGACAAGTCCAGAAAGATCAATAATGTTAAATGTTAATTTCCAGAATTTAAATAGAAAGATTGGATGACAGTAACACTGCAAATTCAACAAGAGAGAGATTAATTACATGAGACTGAACTGGTTAAATAGAATTTTCTGACTTTTGACTAAAACATTACTGATTTTCTTCCATGCTTTGTTTTCCAGATTTAAGGATTTTTGTTTTCTCTTGAGCTGTTAGTAGATTCAGCTACTGACTGTTTGAACTGAAACCTAACTTTTTCCCTGGCTTTAAGTCTTAAACAGCTTTCTCTTAACATTTTTTAAAATTTTGATCTATTAAAGCTAAAACTGCTTTTCTCAAAATTAAAAACTGCATAAAAATAAATACCTATTTAATGACTACAGTAAGCTATATAGACCCAATTAGGTGCCACTTTATAGTATTTTCATTCTACTCACTGAGTTTTATGCCTAAAGTCAGACATGTGTTCATAAATATGTATATATCAGCTGCACTTGCTATTGAAAGTGTTTAGATTAATTAAGATTTTTTGTGAATCAGTAAAATGTGAAAAAAAAGGGGGGACATGGAAAGCAACTATAGATACCAGAGACAATGTGGAAGGAGGGAAGGAAATAGCAGAGGGTGAGAGGTAGGGAATCAAGGTGGGGGAAAGAAGTAGAACATACCAGAAACAAAAAATGGAAAATTATTTGCTGACAATATTCTTGATTGACCAATATCCAGTGAATTCTAATAAAAATAATCTTGTTTTGTATACTCTAGTGATGTACAGTAAATGAATTGTAAATGAATAAACTTAAAATAAAAATAAATAAATAAATAAATAAATACATGCATGCTATGCTATGCTATGCTATGGGAAAAGAGAAAAAAAAAGAAGTGAGCAAACAATACCCATCAAGTGTCACCAGGGGGAAAAAAAAATGTTTCCTCAGGAAAAGGAAGTAAAATTCACACCTGTCCCCATGACCATGCAGGTGGCAAGACCCTGAACGAGAATAGCCAAGGAGTGACGTGCCTGCACTGAATGTTCTTGGGTGTCTGTCCAACACCCCTGGCATACAGGTGTCTGTTGGGAGGGGCCATGGCATGGCTGCTCTGTGTCCAGGCAGGGGTGGCAGGCCTCAGTGGCAGTGGGCAGGGCAGAGGGGCTGGGAGGGATGTGTGCGGCACTCCATCCGCACACTGTGATGATTTTCATACTGAAGTTCCGACTCCAGTTGTGCTAAGAGGTCTTATAGTGTTGAACTGAGAGGCCTCTGTACTCCCATGTTGGAGCGCTTATAAACAAACCACAGCCTCACTTAAAATCTGTTTTCTGGGCTAACAGTGGCATAGAAGCTAAGGTCAATGGATCCCACATGGCCAACTTCTCAGACCAGTTCTTTTGTTTTTTTTTTTTGAGAGGTTTTTGCTATAGGGCATGTGCGCTCGCCAGACAGACAGAGAGAGACAGAGAGACGGAAAGCGAGAAATCACCCCCCAGGGGGGATGGTCACGCTGCAATCCCTTCTCCTCCATTCTCCTCTCGGGATCTTGGGCATGCACGCACATGCGCCTGGCGTGAGTTTTAAGCCACCAGGTCCGGGACATGAACCGCAGTCGACTATGTGGGAATCCAGCGACATAGCCATTACGCTAACTGCTGGTTCCCCTCAGACCAGTTCTAAGGGCTGCCTGATTTGCAAATCGTTCTTTCCACAATCAGACTCTGCTAAATCAAATTTGTCTTAAGCTTTTTCCTTTAATACAAAAAAATGGGAGGAAAAAAAGAACTTCCCCACTCCAATTCTGTGTAATAGAAACTCCTCCTGAGCTCCGCGCCAACATAGTATAGTAGTTGCATCATCTGATGAGAGCAGTCGCTTCTCCCCCCAACCCCCACCCCGACCCCATGCAGGTCACCCCTAGATGTCACCCAGCACTGAGCTCCTTCAACTGTTGGGTATCAAGTGTTTTAATTTATTTGTTTATTTATTTATTTATTTTAGAGAAAGATTTTTTTGCTATAGGGCACATGCACTAGCCAGAGAGACAGAAGGAGAGAAAGTGAGAAATCACCTCACAGGGAGGATTGCACTTTGCAATTTTGGACACCCATGGACCTGCACCCGGTGTGAGGTTTAAGCCACCAAGTCCAGGACTCAAACCGCGGTTGACTCTGTGGGAGTCCAGCACCATAACCATTCTGCCATCTGCTAGTCCCAGGTGTCGAGTGTTTGTGTCTTGAACTACCACTCCTTGCCATTCTACCTCCTTAAGCAAGGGAGGGGGCTGAGGACAGGCTGGCTTCAGGCCTTCTGCAGCCCCAGCACGGATTTTCTACATGGTTACTTAACGAGTAATTCCACTTGATTTGGGAGTGAGACACCATTTAGCATTTTAACATTTCTCTCAATATGCACTGTGACCATGGTTAACACCCAAGGCTTCATTTATCGAGGGAGGTTTGAGCTCAGTGTAACCAGCCACTGAAACATCCCTAAAATACAGACCTGATCCTTGCAAACAAGCAATGCCAGAATCCTGGTTGAACTCTGTAGGTATCTTGAAGAAAACACAGGTGGCCCCTGCAGCCGATCGATATTCCACTTGGTGTTTAGCTATTCAAGTCCCCAGAATAAGCTAAGGAGATTCTCTGAAAACAACCTGGGAGTCAGGGATGGACGGTGCACAGAACCAGTCCTGACCATGCTAAGAAGCAGACAGCTCCTTCACAATTTGGAATAACCATTCCAAATGATGGTGGTGTTCAAGCTTGTTCTCAGGATCAAAATACTGTTGTTATTTTTCACTTGAGGTGCATTATTTCACTCACAAATCTGACATCCTAAGATGTAAGACTAATTTCAGACATCAGTGCTAGTGCCCAGCCCTCAGCAGAGCTGGGGTCAGTGGGTTACTTCCTTGAGCAACTGCTAAAGAGATCATAGGACCACCCAGAATGGGTGAGAGGACTGAAGGGCTTCCAGTCATACCTGCCAATTACAGATTGCTTTTGAGTTTCTTAGTTGCTTTTTTTTTAATTATTTTTTATTTTTACATTTTTTTTAAAGAATTATTTTGCTATAGGGTGTAGCTCCTCTCAGAATTTTAGGCATGCACACACATGCTCCCACATGAGTTTCAAGCTGCCAGGTCTGGGACCTGAACCTCAGTCAGCCATGTGGGAGTCTAGTGACATAACCACTATACAATCTGCTGGTCTCAGTTGATTTTTTTTTTTTTGAGAGATATTTTTGCTATAGGGCCCATGCTCTCACCAGAGAGACAGAGAGACAGAAAGTGAGAAATCACCCCCCGGGGGGAATGGCCACAGTTCAATCCCTTCTCTTTCATTCTCCTCTTGGGATTTAGGGCATGCACAAACACATGTCTGGCATAAGTTTCAAACCACTGGGTCTGGGACTTGAACCATGGTTGGCCATGTGGCAATCCAGTGCCTTAACTGCTATGCCACCTGCTGGTCCCCTCAGTTGCTATTTTAAAATGCAAATCCCGGGCCATGTGGTGGCAAAGTAATGAAAAGCAGTGTTTGTGAGGCAATCCAACATGGGAGGTTCTTGGTTCAAGTCTAGACACCCCTGAGTATGCCAGGTACACACATGCCCATGCTGGGGCTGCCGAAAGGAGGGAGTAGACTGCAGACTCAAAGTCCTGTCGGGGGTGCCATTGCTCTGTCTCTCATGGAAGAAATAAAAAAACTTAAAATTATAATAAAATAAAATACAAATACTGGGCCAGGTGGTGGTACAGGACTAAAGCAACTAGACCCATGTGGGACAGGTCCTGGGTCCTCCCTGGGCCCATTAGGTATGTTTGTGTGTTAGGACCTCCTTGAGCACATCAGGGCACAAAGCCTGGTTGGCCATGTGGGAGCTGACTCTCTTAACCACTGCTCACCTGGGCTGGCCTAAACGTTCCTTCCTGTGTGTGCCAGATGAGGGGCGCTACGCCACTGTTCCCCTAGATAAGCACTAACCAGTTAGAAATCATTCACTAAGAAGTAGTCTAACCTCCCAAAGTCAATTTTCATCCAAAGAAAAGCATGGACACTAGTACCGTGGCTGTCTGCCTCCTAGCAGACCCCAACCTAGAACACAGAAGACTTGGCCGAAGGAGTGAGCACTGAAGGAAACACCCAGCAGCCGACAGCCACAGCATGTAACTATTCAGAGCCACGGAAGCAAGTGGGTGTGCATGGCACCGGCTTGTGGGCTCTTGTCACCTTTTTTTTCTCCTTTTCAAGTTCCTCAGCCTCTCTTTGCCAAACCGTTTTCATATCGAAGTCAAATGGTCCTCTCCTGGATTCATAGCTACCGTTGGCCTGGTCAGGCTGAAACTCTTCATACACCATGTAATCTGGCATGGAGATGGCAGGGACCCTATAGGAACAGACAGCAGTCATGACCTGGCACTCTGCACTCTGTCCCCTACCACCCGGTCTCCCATCTTTCCCTCTTCGTGTTCTCTTGGGTTCTTCCTCTCTCCTCCCCACCTCCTCCCTCTGTCTCAGTCTCCTGCTCTGCCTCTCTCTCTTTCCATAAGCCCTGTCCATCGGTCTGTCTTTCTTGCAGACGCAGACCCTCCCAAAGTCAATTTTCATCCAAAGAAAAGCATGGACACTAGTACCGTGGCTGTCTGCCTCCTAGCAGACCCCAACCTAGAACACAGAAGACTTGGCCGAAGGAGTGAGCACTGAAGGAAACACCCAGCAGCCGACAGCCACAGCATGTAACTATTCAGAGCCACGGAAGCAAGTGGGTGTGCATGGCACGGGCTTGTGGGCTCTTGTCACCTTTTTTTTCTCCTTTTCAAGTTCCTCAGCCTCTCTTTGCCAAACCGTTTTCATATCGAAGTCAAATGGTCCTCTCCTGGATTCATAGCTACCGTTGGCCTGGTCAGGCTGAAACTCTTCATACACCATGTAATCTGGCATGGAGATGGCAGGGACCCTATAGGAACAGACAGCAGTCATGACCTGGCACTCTGCACTCTGTCCCCTACCACCCGGTCTCCCATCTTTCCCTCTTCGTGTTCTCGTGGCTTCTCCCTCTCTCCCCCCCACCTCCTCCCTCTGTCTCAGTCTCCTGCTCTGCCTCTCTCTCTTTCCATAAGCCCTGTCCATCGGTCTGTCTTTCTTGAAGACGCAGACGGGCCCTTCTTCTGCTCCTGGTGAATAAATACCAGCCCTTCCCCAGGGCCTGCCTCCAGGACCAGGAGGCCAATTCCAAAACCATAGCATCCCAGTGTTAGTAAAACTAGATATTTTAAAAGGTGAATGTATTAAAATAGATAAATTATAAAGTAGTCATTTCTTTCAAAACAGCACCCACTATTTTGTCCCCTTGAATAGCTAAACACCCAGAAACGTTTTGTATTTCACATGATCATCTAAACTACAATAGCTTCCTTCCACTTACTGTCAGTTCCAAACTGCAGGACGGTCAGCCCTGAGCTCTGAGGTGACTGACTACTGAGGAACTATCTATCGGCACCACGTGTTTTAATGGGGAAGTGCCTGGGCTCCGGCTTGGAAAGCAGTAACGCCTGCTCCTGAGGAGTCTGAGGGCCTGTGGAGACCACCGCGGGCTGCTGCTGTCTGCTTCTTGCTCAGAACCAGAATCACTGCACAGGGTCACTTGGCTCGAAGGTTGCGGAGAGGCCTCAGGCTCAGGGTAGCCCTGTGGGGCAGGGCCGAGAGTGGGGCCTGTGCGCTGAAAAGGAGGAGGCTGGGAGTTCCCACACGGCAGAGAGCAGCAAAGGCAGGGAAGCAGGTTTGGGAGGTGACCGTGGGCACCCAGTACACCTGGCCAGCTGTGCAGCTCAGTGAGGCACAGGTGTGAGAAAGGGCCAGGAGGAGCGGCATCCTGTTTAGCCACTCAGTTTAATGCAGAGCAAGGGGCACCTCTCCCAACCCTCCCATTTCCCAGATCATCTGTAGGCAGGGCAAAGCCCACAGAGACATGAGCACTGAAAACAACAAGGGAAGAGACCACACCAAAACTGTGCAGCTGGGTTCAACTGCAGCTCCTGGGTCCCCAAGAAGGAAAGATTTCTCCTGGACCTCCCACCCCTGGCATCCTCTGACTGTCCCAGACCATGGAACAAGCAGTCTGGATTCTGGGGAGGGTGGAGCCTGGGAGACAGGAGAAAACTAAAGACCCCAGAAACAGATCCTCACTGGGTGCTTCAAAGACACCTAAAGACATAGGGTAGAGGACAGAAAGGGATGAGGCACTGTCAGTCCCGAGAGAACAGAGCAGAAAGGATGACAGGAAAAGTTTGCCTGGTGGGGAAGGCAGGGACCTCTTAGGAAGACCCCATCCCCCAGAACTGACCGCTGCCAACGGCTTCCAGAGAGAGCAGAAGCCTACTCAGAGTCAAGGTTCCGGGCCATGGGGTTCTAGCAATCACAGGACAACTGGTGCCCCTTAGTGTGGAGTTCAGGTAACGAGGGAGACCTGAGGTCAAGGGATGCTCCAGAAACTCCACCCTGCTGCACCTGCCTGCACTCTCTGGGCCCCTGGGGCGCTACGCGCCTGGTTCTCTTCCCGTGAGCCCTGGCATTGTGTGAGCACCCCCATCTTCTGCCTGCTTCACCTGCTCTGCTCTCTCTTGCTCTGTCTCATTCCTTTTCTTCACCAAATGATGCTAACAAGTCAGTTATGTTAGCACAGAGTACTCGTTCTAAAAACTGGAGGGGTGGGGGGGGCAGGCCAGCCAGTGGTGTGGTGGCTGAGGCAGCTGAATCCCAGATGGTTGATTTCATGCTTTGAGTCCTGGACCCAGCAGCTGGAAAAACACTCAAGGCATCCTATGGCAGTTTTAAAAATATAAGGAAAAACTGGGAAACCAACATTCTAAAGATAAGTTCTGCATGTGAGCACATTCAGATCACATCAGACTGTAGCTTGGAAACATCTATGATGTTCCCAATTCCGAAGCAGAATATTGCAAAAGGGGGCCTAAATGATTTTTCAGTTACCTCGCAGTCCTAAAAGGTGCTTTGGGTGGGATGGTCTGTGTACCCACAAACATCTCAAATATTGTAGTGCATGTTGGCATCCCCATAATTCTGTATTCATTAAGAAAATGGGATTTCTGGGCCAGCAGATGGTGTGAAGGGTAAGGTACTGGATCCCACATGACTGACCACAGTTTGAGTCCCAGACTTGGTGACTTAAAAATCACACCACATGTGTGTGTGCCCAAAATCGAGAGAGGAGAATGGAGGAGAAGGGACTGTGGCATGGTCATTCCCCTGGGGGTTGATCTCCCATTTTCTGTCTCTCTGTCTTTCTCCCCCACCAAAAAAAAAAAAAAAGATGGCTACTGTAAAATAGCACCTGGAGTTGAAATCCCACATACTATCGGCATTAGATATCTGTATTTTAAAGTTTAAATTGGACTATTTTTTTTCTTTAAAGATAAACATGGGTGCTTCAAGTACTCACTCTCGCTGGTCGGCTGTAGGTGGCTTGCTGTGGTGGATATACCAGTCTGGCAAGGAGTAGGTCACTGGGGAGCCTTTCCTGGTCCCAGCAGCAAAGTGCTTCAACAAATCTCCAAGAAAAAAGAGACGCAGCCGTGAGGATGCCTGCTGTGCCACGCGGGCATGCAACATCAGGAGCGGTGAGCTCTGTTTATAAGAAGACAGTGCCTTTTGTCTTCCTGGGGTTGCCTCTGGGCTCAAAAGGCCAAGATGGCAGCCCTGGAACAGGCTGACAGGGGAATCCTGCTCAGTGCTCAGGTGGGGACATTCTGCGTGCACCCCCACCCCATCCACTCTCTCTGTAGATCTGGGCCCTGAGCTGCATCTACGCAAAACACCACCAGCTTCAGGGCTTGGGGGCTCATCTCTCCAGCTCTCAGATCAGGGGCTGCTTGCCCACTCCCACACCTTTAACTACTATTTTTGTAGGCTAGGGCATCTGGCCATCCTCCTCTGCCATCGTGGAGCTGTCTCTGACCCACACACAGCCTTGACCAGAGAAGCTACCCTCTCCAAGTTTCCAAATAAGAAGTAGGGCCCAGCCCCCACCCCGGTAACCCCAGGGAGACTTAACTGTCACCTTGGAGTCGGCCTGAGAGTTACAGAGCACAGGCTCGCTCCTGGGGAATCAGGTCGGCCCAGCTCTTTTCTTTTCCCTTCCCTGGTGTTGGAAGACAGTGTGGTGGGGCTGGCCTGGGAGCGCCGCACAGTTAATCCCCACACATAGAGAGCAGGGTCCCACATGGCCGGGTGCAAGGGCTGGTTTTGCCTGACAATGAGGACAGCAAAATAATGATACCAACACACATGGCAGCAGCTGATAACAATTTCTAATTTATTACTGTCAGTAAGAAGGTTATAACTTTTTATTTTTTGACATTAAAAAAATTGCTACAGGCTATGTGCGCTCCATGGAGACAGAGAAAGAGTGAGAGAGTGAGAAAGCACCCCTAAGGGGTTGTCCATGCCACAATTCCTTCTCCTCCATTCTTTCAGGGTTTGGGGTATGCATGCATAAGCATCCAGTGTGCTTTCCAAGTTGCCACGTCTGGGACGTGAACTGTGTAGTCATCCATGTGGTATCCAGCCACCTTAACTACCATGCCACTGGTTGGCCATATTTTTTTACTTAAAAAAAAAAACATATTTTTAATTGTTAAAAATGTCACACCAGAAAAGTTGTAAGGATACCATGAATTCCCCTATATCCTTCACCTGGATTCTCTAATGTGGCATCATTTCACGGTATTTACTCTCTCATCCCCTCTCTCTGACCCTGTCTCCCCTCACTGCAATGATCACTGTCATTGTTTTGAGACAGCTGGGCAGCGTATCGCAGACATGATGCCCTCCCTCCAACCACACTTCAATGGAAGTTTCCCAAGGACAGTCCTTACAGAATCACAGCATGGGGACCAAGACCAAGAAACTGGTATTGATGTGATACTTCTGTCTAGTCTACAGATTTTTTTCACATTTTGCTGGTTGTCCACTGATACTTTTTTTCTTTTTTTAGAGAGAGAGAGAGAGATTTTTTTTTGGTATAGGGAGCATGCACTCACCAGAGAGTTAGAGACAGGGGGACAGAAAGTGAGAAATCACCCCCACCCCCGGGGGATTGCCATGCCACAATCCCTTCTCCTCCATTCTCCTTCTGGGATTTTGGGTACGCATGCACACATGCCCAGTGTGAGTTTCAAGTCATTGGATGGGGAACTTGAATCGCAGGTGACTACATGGGAATCCAGCAATGTAAGCATTATGCCATCTGCTGGTCCCCACTAATACTCTTTTAACCAGCAGTGGCAGGAGTTAAATCTAAGAAAAGCTCTAGGCCCTCTTTTTAATGCATAGCAGTTAGTCGACCCAGTTGCTTGATCTGGGACTTTAAAAACTAAAAATACCACCATTCGTTTCCCATTTGCCCTGTGACATTTCCCATAGGGGCAATGAAGGCCGGTATCTCTAAATCTACCAGTGCTTAAATGTGGCCCCTTAGCCCTCCAATCAGTGATTAATTTTTTACACGTTATTATATATATTTTTTAATTTGACCAGAGAGAGAAAAAGACAGAGAGTGAGAAAGCAAGCCTCCAGGTCTGGGTCGGCCATATGGGAGTCCCATGCTTTAACCACCGTGCTACCTGTCAGCCCCACACTCAATGATTTCTATAGAATTCAACAGCTTTTAGCAGAGTCAAGCGGTACTTTCTCAATTAAATTAAAATTTTGATCCTCAGGGCAGCCATTTGGTATGGAGGTTAAGGTGGCTGGATCCCACAAAACTAACTGCATAGTTCAAGTTTTAAACCTAGTGGCTTAAAAACATTGGACATATGTGGGTGCATTTCCAAAATCCAAAGAAAGCAGTGGAGGAGAAGGGATTGCAGTGTGACCATTCCCCCTAGGAAGTGATTTCTCACTTTATCTCTCTTTCTCCCTATTTCTCTTTCTCTGTCTCTCTTCAATGAGTACATGTACCCTACAGCACACTTTAAAAGGTTTGATTCTTACTGATATCACCACTGAAACTTATTCATGTTCTTCGCTTTTTAATTTTTTTTTTCTATAGGGAGTGTGAACTGGCCAGAAAGAGACACAGAGAGAGAAGCAAAGTGAGAAATCACCTTCCAGAGGGATGGCGAAGCCACAGTCCATTCTCCTCTTGGGATATTGAGCACACAAGCACATGCATCTACTGTGATTTTCCTGGATCCAGGACTCAACCATACAGTCATGTGGGATCCAGCCACCCTAACCTCCACTACACCTGCTCACCCATGCTCTTCGTAAATTAATCATGGTTAAAAGACAAAACTCACTGAGAATAAACAGAGAGAAACAAAACTTTTTACAAATTCATCAGGTATTGTATGCAGAAAGCAAGGACATTAAAGTGTAGGGACAGAGTGTTGAAACAGACAACTTCCTGAGTTTCTATTTGACATTAAAAAAAAAAAAAAGTAGCTGGAGCCAAGAGGTGGTGTGGTGGTTAAGGCACTGGACTCTCACATGGTCGACCACAGTTTGAGTCCCAGACCTGGTAGCTTCCTTTCTCACTTTCCTTCTCTCTCTTTCTGTCTCTATGGTCAAATTAAAAAATAATAGTAATAAATAAAATTAAATAAATAATTTTTAAAAGTCAATAAAGTAGGGA